TATATATATATATATATATATATATATATATATATATATATGTATATGTATATACGTATATAGGATTTAAAAAAATGCTGCAATAAATATGCTTGTAATAGAAGTAAATATAAGCAGATAATTGCACCAAAACTACATCTGCAAATGAAAAACAAATACTTTAACTTTTTTTTTTTGTAAAATACCTAAATGACGAAGTAAATAAAATAGACTAACAGTAAATGAATAAACACAATAATTGAAAAACTCTGGCAATAAAAAGAAAATTTTCATATCATTTACTGCCAACTGATATGTTGTTTTTATTTTGCCAGTGTCAGTCTTCCACACAGAGTAAAACCTGTTTTGCTCTGCGTCTCTATTTACTTTGAGAAACTGCAATGGAAATTTAGATCCAGTTGGGAAAACAAAAATCTGTTAATTAGATGTGTGCTTAATAATAAGCAGGTATATGAGGGGAGGCTGGGAGGCTCTTTTCCCACCTCCAAACCCATTGCAGCGCCCTGAGGGGGTAATCAAGCAGACCCAAGAAACCTCAGCCTCTTTACAGGATTCAGGAAATATGAGGACGGAAAAACACCAGTGAAATTAACATCATGGCTCCCACATGACATCACACCGCCATCACTTATTTTTTCAGCTCTCTATAGCCCACGCTTGTGTTTCTTCCACGCTTGTGTTTCTTATTGCACGAGGGAGATGCGCACATTATCAGAGCGCCAGACCAAAACCTTCACTTTGTTTTGGTTACAGAAGACTTGTCTCAACGCAATTGGAGAAAAATGTTTGACTTTATACTGGTGCACCTGTCTGTGGCCACATGAAGCAGGCAGGGCTGGGGGGGGCGGGGCCAACAGGTGCAGGTGTTGTGCTGTTTTTAAGTCACAACAACATGAAACAAACAACTTCTCCCACAGAAGATCTAAAGGGTCGACCTCCCTGATGGGGACGATTATTTTGTTTTTCAAATTTAGGACAGATATAAGATTCAGTCACAATATTAAACTAAATTTCTTGAAAGAACTTGTAGACTATTGCCCGCCGCCTCATATGACAAGACAAAGATCTTTTGTGCACTTTGTTAGTGCTCGGAGTACATGTTAGATACAACTCTCAGCTACTACCAACCAAAAGTGGAGCTCCGTATCTGTTAAACGGACCGAGTTGTAGCAATTTTTGTGTTTTCTAAGGACAATTCGCCCTTGGCGTAACTCAATAGACAGTGCTAAAGTTTTAAGTAAAAATCCTGCAGCGCTCTGAGTATGTGTTGAGGATAACTCTCAGCTACTACCACACCATGTTTTACGTTAATATGTGTAAAATGGACTAAGTAAATTCCAGAAGTTACTCACATCTAATTATAACTTTCAGTTTAAATAATATCCCATCATAAAATCGGGAGTTAAAAATGCCACAAAAACACCTGTCACCATATAAATGCGCCTGCACCCCCCCCCCCCTCCACTGGAATAAGGGGGCGGAGCCAGCAGGTGTAGGTGTTACTGTTTTTTTAAATCAGGGCAGCATGTGTAAACAACTTTGTTTACAAACTGTTCACAGGTTAATTACTAATGAACAAATATACTTAAGGTAATTACTGTCTGGATAACTTTTAAGTTTATATATTTAAGACGATTTTTTTGTTGTTGATAATTTGCATTTTAACACAAACGATCAAATTAAACAAATTACACTTTTATAGATGATTTATACCAAACCTGCCAATCCTAACCTTAGCCTTTAAGTGGTAAGTGAGTTGGGGGGGGGCTAATTTGCCCAAAAATGAGAACATCAATTAAAAGATTAATCTTTTAATCCGTCATCTCAGCCAGGACCGAACCGAACCCAGGTTCCGACTCACCTCCGCACAGCGAACCTCCCTGGAACTAAAGAGATGAGAGGAGGACGGGCTGCCTCTGCTGCTCCGCTGCTTTGCGTCAATGCGTCTGTTGGCGCAGGCACATATGCCGCTGCGCATCCAGAGCAGGAAAATGGCACCACACCCACAGCTCGTGCTTACTCTAACCACTCACCTGGCTCGTGGATCATGCAGGTGGAGTGACGGTGGGCTGTTTGACGCACAGACCAGTGTGTGTGCGCGTGCAACGGCAACCAGACGAGAGCAGCGGGTGGCAGGGGTGTCCCGGCTGCTTCAGCCCTGTCATGTCAGGTCCGCCTTTTGAAAACTTTTGCTTGTCTTGTCGCATCCCCCTCCATCCTGGATGCCCCCCCCCTCCCCCCCATGCTGCAGACAGCCGCAGTGACGCAGCTGCAGGAGGAAAATAAGCAGCTGAAGCTGCAGGAACCTCACTGCTGCGCTCATGGACCACAGCCAAGGACGCTGTAGGTTTATTTCACTATGAGTTATTTATAACTTCAGGAAGACACATTTGTATTTTTTTTTTACCTCTCATTCTCAACTGTACATGATTTTTGTAGACTTTAATATATGGAGCATAGCTGTGGTCAGAATTCTGTTAGTTTCATTTGGAGCCTTTACTGATTTACTTAAGCAACTTTAATGCTTTTAATAACCAGAGTTGATCTAATTGTCTTCTTCTTTTAATTATTTCCTCTTCAGTGGTCCCAGGGAGTCATCCTCCTCCATCTCACTCTGTCCTCTGCATTTTATGTCCTCACTACCTCCATGTCCTCTCTAACTGCGTCCACATAACTCCTCTTTGTCTTTTCTTTAATCTAATTTATCCATCCACAAAATTACAGCCCAATTCTGATTGGATAATATGTCGGTTTCCTGGCACTGATTTGGCTTTCAAGCAATAATTTCTATAGGGGGAACAGGGTTTAGAAAACCATTGGAGGTTTGATGTTAGCCTGCTTTGTCCAGTAGAAACCAGTTTCCACAGTGCCTTGTTTGAACATTAATTTGTGTCCAAGTTTGAACCCTTTCAGCTGTCAAACTGAGAAGTTGATGCACGTTGGATATTCCATACATTGTTCAATTCACCATTACCACAGCATGATGCTACTACCACCATGCACCAGACCTGACTGGACCTGATGCTCCGTCTCACTATCAGCAGGCAGTCCACGGTCTCCTCATGATATTCTCTCTTAACTCGTTGGAGATAAATATTTCAAAAACAGGAACTGGGCCATGGAGGGGGGGGGGGGGGGGTGTCAAGTTCAAACACCACCAGAACCTTTGTTTCAGCCACTGATCATCCAGGGGCCAGCAGGTGGAGCGGGTGGACTCTTATAAGTACCTTGGCACAGAGATGGACAGTGTTTCCACAGAACACTCAGAAGGCCCAACATCTGTACCTGCTGAGGAAACTTGAGACATTTCATGTCAGCAGGAGCACTCTGGCCTTGATTTGCAAATCCCTGATTGAGTCCTTTTTAACTTTTAATATTTCATCCTGGTTCAACCTCATTAACAGAAAGCAAAATTATACAGATTAATCAAACAATCAAGTGCGATAACTGGCTCACCTCAGTCTCCCCTGTCAGACTTCTACAACTGTTCAGTGATGAAGAAAGCCACCCTGAACACTGAGGACCCTCACATCCACTATCTGCTTCCATCAAACAGGCGCTACAGAGTCCCATTGAGAATATTTATAAGAAATCATTTGTACCATACATAATAATGTTCTTAAACAAAGCTAGATACATCTTAACAGTGGTACACTAATGTTGATAATGTCATTTTCATTATGCTCTTTTTTTTTTTCTTTTTTTTTTTTTTGGTTGTTCTTGTGTGTGTGTGATAAATGTAGTGTCAAAGGAGAATTTCTGCCACAGTTGTACTAGACAAAGTTTATCTTGACTGTTGGAAAGACAGAAGAAAGTGCTGTGTACACGCCATCATCATTGTATGTTCCCATACAATGAAGAAGGTTTGAAAACCTCACCTGAAAAAAAAAATTCTTTGTCTCGTTTGACCATAAATTTATTCTCTAGAAAACGTTGTCTTGTCTTTTGAGCTTGGTGGTGTCCCTTTTGGAGCACTCACCCTCTTAGTTCAGGACCATATAAATCTCACTTTACTTTGGACAGTGGTTGAATCTTGGTTGTTCCTGAACATCCCAGTCCATCCACCAGCATGGTGCTACCACCGCATGGTGCTACCACCGCCATGCTCAACAGTTGGTACAGTGAGAGTCTCGCTTAATTTCATCCAAACAAATGACTTGTCATTGCGACCAAACAGCTCAATCCTTGGCTCGAAATTATTAAGACATCCAGACCTATAATAATTGTATGAAGCCACAACCGAAGGACAGTCAGGTGTATTTGTCATCTTTGGAACCATCTGCTCTTTGAGTCTTTAACTTTTTCTTTACAGGCCAACCCAAAGCCCTTTTTCTTTTTTTTTGTTGGCCATTTTAGGACCAACCTTATATTTACAGTTAAGGATTCTTATCTCCTTTAAGGAGGTTTGCTGTCCAGCCCAGTTCTGATGCTGAATTATTGATGTGCAAACAAGGACAGAGCTGATGAAGCACATCAGAGATACGCATGGATACACTGCTATTTTGTTAGTGCTAGAAGGACCGGTTTGAACTTAGATCAGATCTTTGCTAAATATTTGTGGATAAATTAACAGTTTATTATTTATTTTAAATATAAAGTTCGAACAGCTGATGTGCTATGATGATTATATCAAAGTGTGGTCTATACTGTAATTAAAAAAAAAACACACTTTCAACGTTAAATTTGCTTTAAATTTAGTTAGAACAAGTGGAAACATCAAGAAAAGGTGGCTTAAAGCAGTGGTTTTTAAACTTTTTATTCCAAGTACCACCTCAAAAAATACTAAGTCATGTGTACCACCAGACTGTACAAGTTGTAGAACAAGAAGTAGTTACATTTATATCAATCATAAACATGCAGCTTGAAAAAAAACTAAATTCTAACACTGGTTGAAGGTTGAGTTTAAGATTGCAGAAAACAGCCACACAATCCTGACAGTCCAGTATTTTCTTTTTTTTTTTGGACCATATCTGGATACAAATTTGAGGACATTTTAAATTGTTTTCTTGCTGTTTTGTACCTTTAGTTGCTGGACCTGCACTAGAGCACACTAGGACAGAGATCTACAGCAAATGACGTGTGGAGAGCTAAATGACGCTTGCAACAGTACAACTTTTAGCAGTAGTGCGCAACGGTTTCCATAGGGGTCCTCAAAATATTTGTGTTTCAAGTTTCCATTTGAATTTCCATATTTTACTACTTTTTTCCCCCTTTTTTTAGCGCTACAACAGTTTGGATAATTAGCTTATTTAACTTGTAAATAGTTGATACCAAAACTTTGAGTACCACTGACACGATTTTGAGTACGACTAATGGTAGTTGTACCGCACTTTGAGAGCCACAGGCCTAAAGTATTTTTAATCATTAGGGCTCAGACTGGGCACAGGCGGGAAAAAATGGTAAGGAAGTCAGGCTGAAACGCACACACACACACACACACACACACCTTTGCTTTGTGGACTCTCTTCATTCACTTTCCCAAGTAGATCAGGTTACAGTTAAAAACCAGCTCAGGTTTGTGAAAAAGGAGCCAGGTCCTCCTCCGCCCTCCTCAAGTTAAGATGCGAGACGCGCCACAAAGACTAGAATACACCCTGTAGTACACACACATTCCACTGGAGTATTAATTACCAAAAAAGGCCCCAAAAACTGTCTGGAGAAAAAACTGATGACACAACTTTTTAATATTTTCAGTTGTATGTATACATTCCTTATCGACCAAAATGTTTCTTTATTGCTTTTAAAGGGAATATTCAGCTCTTTTGAGGTATGTGGAACCTCTTAGAAAGAATATTAGAATAATGTAATTGCAGCAACCCCTGCTGCGATTTCTTCAAGACAACAGCAACTCACATTGGTCTTGACTCCACTTGGACTAGCAGTCAGTTTGTCAATTTGGTCAGAGTTAAATGATGTGTTTGAAATGTCAGCCATTTAGTAGTGGTGTTTAAAATTTTAATTGCAAATCCTTCATTTACTACATGTTGTCCTAGCAACTCCATCATATGGTTCAGTAAAAGAAGCGCACAGAGGATTTATGCTACATCGGTGTAAATAGACCACAATGCACTGCAGCCTGAGTCAATGCAGCAGACTAATCAAAGCTATTGCAGCTCGTTGTTGACAGCACAATGGCTCAGTGGTTAGAACTGTTGCCTCACAGCGAGAAGGTCCTGGGTTCAATCCCCGGGTGGACCTGGGGTCTTTCTGTGTGGAGTTTGCATGTTCTTCTCGTGCTTGTGTGGGTTTTCTCCGGTTACTCTGGTTTCCTCCTACAGACAAAAACATGTATGTTGGTCTGCCTTCAGGCCCAGGCCTCCCTTGCAAAAGAGATCTGTGGTCTCAGTGGGATTTACCTGGTTAAATAAAGTTAATAAATAAGAAATTATTGTGAATTTCAGACACAGTAAAATGTCTTATACAGACACCTATTATAGTGATGCCTATAATAAAAAGTGGATGGTCTCCTCCTTTGTCCGAGCTGCATGTAAAATGGAAAACATTTAAATTCAAATATAAAACTTTAAAAAAATTAATCACTTCTTTATTTAAATCAGCGTTAGGAAGTTATGCTATTAACGACACATGAAAAGAAAAACAAAAAGTGACCAGGCATTTTGGGTTTTCATGAGCTGTATGCCATAATCATCAGTATTAAAACAATTAAATACCTGAAATATTTCAGTTGGTGTGCAATGAATCTGAAATATATGAGTTTCATTTTTATCATTACATTATGGAAAATAATGACCTTTATCACAATATGCTAATTTTTTGAGAAGGACCTGTACATGGTGGATTCTCCTGACAGCATGATGTGTTTGCAGAACTCAGGCCTGGTGTCTCTGTCAGCTGATGGATGGGGTTGAAGAGGAGCTCAGCCACTCCAACCCTCTCCAAGCTGATGAGGTGGGACTGGAACAGCCTCGGGGGCCTCAAACCGCTCTCCTCCCACCTTGCTCACACGACCATCTGGCAGCGTGTACAATTCCATCAGCACAGTGGTCTCCAGGGCCAGCTTCTGCTCGATGATGTAGACAACGCAGCACAGCTTCTCTTTCATTATGCACACTCAGTCTGCAGAGTGATTGAAGGCATAGCCTCTTGACAACAACTTAATGAGGTAGCGAGTGATGTCCCTGCCTGCAATGTCCAGATGTCTTGTCTAACTTGAGTCCACCACCGGTGAGAAGGCCTTGAGCATAGTGTCAAAACAGCAATGTAGACTCCTGCAAACTGGTAGGTCTCAAACATCATCTCAATGATTTTCTTCCGATTTTTGGCAGGGTTCAGTGAGCAGGATCTTGCAGTTACGAGAGTTGAGCTTGAGCTTCTCTGGGCCGATGGGGTCATCCCACAGGTACTTCATGTCATCCTAGTTCCTGACAATGCCATTTTCCATGGGATAGTTCACCTCAAGCATGGAGCACAGCTCACTGGCCTCATCTCCTACTTTTGACTGGCGAGCAAATGATGGGCCTCCCAACAAGCGCAGGGAAGATGTGCTCTGGGAAGTTGGAGCCTGCATAGCCACACATGACTAACACAGTTCCATTGTCACAGATCACCACTTTCCATCCCTGGCTGTCCATTATGTAAAGCCCCAGCCCGGCTGAGAACTAAAAAAAATAATCAAAAATATTTTATAAATTGCAACCTAAAGCAAGCCACATTTCAAATGTTATAAAGCTATTTTCACATACATTTTAAGTTTGTGGGTAATAATTCATAGTTTTTAGTTTTAAATAAGATCTATTTATATATTTGTGAAATAAATCTTTGCTACAATTGATGATCATTCATCCAAAGACTTTGAGGTTAATTGTGGAGTACCACAAGGATCAGTTATAGGAACCCTTCTTTTTAATTTGTGCATGTTATCTCAGCAACGTCATCAGGTGACAGCATATTTTTTCAGTTTTGCCATTGACACATAGCTCTATTTTGCCACATTTCCTGATGTAACTAAACCAATTGACACACTTAACTGTATTCAGGACAAATCTTCCAAAGAGTACAAAAAGTAGCCACAACTGTTTCAGAATTCAACAGCGAGTGTTGACTAAGACTAGATCTCACATTAGTCGTCATATTCTAAAGTCCTTACACTAGGGGGCTGTTAGTTTGATGACTGATTGAAAATTATAATTTAGTTTCTTTTAGGCCCTCCACGGCCGAGCACCAGAATATGTAAGAGAGATGATGTTTATTCATGTTTCATACGAGTGAGACTTGATGAAAAATCACAGCTGTTTCTATGGATTTTTGCATATGGTACTGCCCTACAGATAAAATATAAACAAGCTATTGATGAAGTGTTATTATACATGCTTGTGCCAATAAATTATGAAGATCTGCAGGTGGAGGATTATTAAAAGCTTTGCTGTTCAGAACATATTTAAATCAAATTCATATCTCGAGTTTCCAACAGACTTCTTAGCGCAGGCTGCACTCATCACAGCTGAAGGAGATTTTGCATATTCCCCACAGTAACCAAATGACACCATTATCTGACTTGTCTTGGCTTACGGCAAGCATGACCATTTGCATACACAATTTTTCCCTTTCTCCCTCTTGCATCAAGCTCCCTCTGCTGGACGTTGATAGAAATCAAGCAGAAAATGTGTTCATGTGTGGGGGCAAATATTTATTAGAAGCACTGTATTTACCAGTATATGCAATTTAAAATTATGACAAAAGGTGCTGCAGAAGTGGCTGAAGAAACTTCTCTTTTTGGTCTAGAGATTGTGTCTTTGAGACCCAGTTCTTTATCGCCGTGAGTTAGAAACTCAATGGATTCCCCCCATTTCCAAATATAACCAGTCCTGAATCTGCTGCCAGGTCAAAATCAAGCATTCTGTAATTATATCATCAACACCAGACCTGAAATAAGATAAATCAATGGTAGGTGCAATGTAGGCAGAGAAACAGCTGGTTAATCGGTCATCATGTCGGCACCCTCTGCTCCTGTGGCATCATCCAGACTAAGCTCCTCCAGCATCTCCATCAGGGAGATACGAGGCGCTCCGTCATCATCTGTGTCGCTCTCCACTGGGATCTTTGAGGCATCTGAAACATAAATATATAAAACTAATTGACATCTGCTCATTAACTATCAAATATAAACTATATAATTTATGGTGAGACACTAGTTCTGTCAGAAAAATTAGCAGTGGTTGTCAGAAAGAGAGAGACTGAAAATAGACTCTAGGAAACTATATTTGAAAGCGGAGTTACACAAGAAAACCATACCCCTGTAGATGTTGACATTCTTTCTCAAAGCTTCATCTTCCTCCAGGTCCTCCAGGAAGTCTTGGTATTGCCTGAAGTCGCAAAAGCAAAAATGAAGACAAACCCATTTGACAAATCAAAAACGTCCACTAAAAATTAAGCATTTCCTTAAATTGTCCACAGATTGATACGTCTCTTTATTGCTCTCAAGGATTTTCAGTACTTCTTGTGCAACAGATCTAATATTTCTTAACAGATTTATATTAGCGTTTCCATTGTTTACTACCTTCAAATTCCATTAAAATCCTAAAAAGAACAAATCCTGTACTTGACTACACCCTGTGCACCCAGTGAATGCTGGTAATTATTACTGAGTGACAGAACTTGCCTTAAACACCATAATAATCCACATAATTCAAATCCATGACTGTTTTATCAATGGTTCATGTTTTAATGTTTAGCGCACATCGTTCTGCAGCGAGTATCAAACAAACGTTAATCTGATTATAACGCGAGCCATAAAAGTGTATTTTAGACAACAGCAGGACAGGATGGAGTCAACAATCTTTAAGTCATTCATCAGAGATTCACATGAGCTAAATATACGATAATGATCCTACTTTTCATCATCTGACTCCGTGACTTCGCGCTCTCTGGCCATCTCCTGTAGTTTCCAGTTCCTGCGCTTCACTCTCCTGCTGCGGTCGTAGCTCTTCTTGATCAGCACCTTTAAAAGTCAAAACAGAAATGTACAAATTTAAAACACGACATGCCCGTTTCATTTTACTTTGTTATTCAGAGTAAATAAGTCTGTCCAGAGGTGCTACCACTAGAGGTCAGTGTTATAAACTGAACCAAAGGCATTAAAATCATCTGGATCTTAAAAGTTTTGCAGGAGTGCTCAGGGAGGAGGTGCAGCTGAATTTACCACATCAGGAACATGGTGAGGGTTCATCTTGTTCAGGAACTCGTCGTTAATGTTGGAGTTGGCAAAGTCGTAACTGAAGAGGAGACAAACAAGAAATTTAAGCAGAACTTTGTGAAACTGTTTTCTCGTTGAGGTTCCGTTGAGTTTTCAGTGGTTTTAATGTAAACAATGTAATCCTATTGTCTGAAAACCAGAGCTAGGGAAAGCCTCTAACTACTGTCAGAGATAGAGAAAAGCTTCACCTGCTGAGGTGTTTTGGAGGCTGAAGCACAGCAGAGAGGGACAGCCCACAATCTACAGCTCAAAACTTCCCATTATTGCTGCACACTCACCCCAGCACCATGTCTCCGATGTTTAGCAGGTGGCCCAGGAAGGTGCGACAGTGGTACTGTTGACTTGTATCCATCTCTGATGTTTTCTGGACCCACACCTCAGCCAGGGTGTGCTGCAACATGCAAAAAAAAAAAAAAAAAAAAAAAAAAAAAAAAAAAAAAAAAAGAGAACCCCCCCCAGAAATGTAGCATTAATCCTGTAAGAAAACACTCCTCCTGGTTTTATTCCTCTCATTTATTCAGACAGCTGCATTAGTGATGGTACAACATTCAGAAAGAGGAAACTTGGGAACTCGTTCCCATCAAAAGCACCACTTCAGAGTGGTTTTCTCATCTTGGCTCGGGTCCCGCACACAGGTTCAGAAATAATGTAATGGTCTGCTATTGATTTTACCTCTAAGCGCAGAGCAATGTTCCCCCCATAATGCAATCTGTTCTGCACCAGTACACACAGCCTTACCTTGTTGGACCTCATGCCAGCTCCAGCACCCAGCTTCTGGTCTCGGATGATGTCGATGTCCATAACGATGAACTCCTCCAGTTGCCGCGGGCTACAGAGACTGTTGAAGGGGCTACGCCAGTACGTGTTCCCATCCACCTCCGCAACTAATGTGTAGATCAATTACAAATGACAAACAGCGGACATTAGGACAAACAAAGCCAAACTAAAAACAAAAATGTCCTTAACGTTCATTCTTTAAACAAATTTGCCTGAAATAATCTCATGTCTACACTACGAATAAACTGCACACACAGTTGAAACAAGTTCATTACTGACTCATGCTGCATCTGCTGAACAAACTCTGGAGTGTTTGTGGGGTTCAACCAAATTGAATATTTCAGTTAACTAAAACAACCTGCTCTTTGAAGTAGAATAAAAACATGTGTGCTGCTGCAGAAACTCAGAATTTGGTTGAGAAGATTCATAAAAAGTAGCAACAGGACCTAAAACTGACAACGGAGATCACTAAAGTACCTGAACTGACAAAAATATCTAAACTCAAGTTAGAATCTGCTATTTGGTGGTTAGAATATTCTGATTTTTAGACGCTGGCAATGAAGAAGAAAATAATCTCATGATACCAATTTCAGACATTTCCTTAAATATTATATGTTAGAAAGTTGGACTTAAATCTAGCCATAAAAAGTTGAATGTCTTACCCTCTAAATTCTCAATATGATGACAAGAGAAGCACATTGAAGCATTTTTTTGTTAGAACTTCTAAAATGTCACCATACACAAGAATGTAAACTGTCGTCAATACTTCTGTCACGTTTGAGGTTGAAGGTTAGATAAGAGGTAGGTCTACCACACAGTTTGATGCATTTAAGTGTCCTTGGGTGTCATGAAAGGCGCTTTTTAAATAAAATGATTATTATTATTATTATATTTAAGGATTTTCTCACTCTGGAACCTGGTTTCAAAAAATACTGTTTAGTTCCTAAAATATTTGTGTGTGGAGGAAATGCTCAACCACACACACACACACACACACACACACACACACACACACACACACACACACACACACACACACACACACACACACACACAGAC